AACCCCCAAGAAAACTTCAAGCATCCAAGACAGGTGTACAGCATCTTGTTGTGTTTCATTGGTTTCCTTTTCTGAGGGGTTTACTGGGTTCTGTTGAAAACTGCAGTGATGTAATTGAAGCAGGGAGGTGCATATACATACTTGCATGCTACTTGTTTCATATACTTGTACCAACCGAAGTGATTCAAGACTAACATATTTAAAAAGGAATGGTGCAACCTGGTCCTCTCCATTACATTAGGTTGTATTTTAACATCATACATTGTAATAAATCGCTTGCAGCAAAGATTGTTTTACTACATACACAGGATTATGGTCTACTCAGCTCTAAACTTAGCCCTCAAGTGCTAATGAAATACAAATCATCACTGGTAACTGAGGTGTAGTATCACCTTCATTAATTTTTGTGTATGCATGTGATATATGGGCAAATAGTTATCTGTAATCAGGCACCCAACTGTATTCCTCTATGGAGTTGGATGCATCCTCAGTTTTCAAGTAAACTGATGAGGGTGTAAAGCTAAACTAACCACTTCCAAGTCTTTCTCCTGGTATATGCAATGCTATGCCACTCCTTTTACATCCTCCATGCTGGAGCTCATCTCAGGGTATGATTGTGAAATTCTTACTTTCCAGCTTGGCAGCCATGCAAGATTGATTCCATTGACCAACATTCCCAAGAAGGACGACTAATTTTGGCCAAATGACATTGGTTCCTGTAGCATGATTCAAGTGATAAAGCCCTTGTTTAAAAGAGTCAATAGCTCCAGGAGGTCCATGGACTGGGTTAAATAGCTCTGTGGACCGCTTCTACTGCACAGGCTATATTTTTGACACTCTTTCTCTAGGATAATAAGCAATAAAGGAGATTCAGCAATAACTGGGAGTAGGGAGAAAGAGTATACAGGACTTCAGGAGCCTACATCTTGCAATAATTTTTTTTTAAAAGGACCAATTAACTTTATGCTTAATTTCCAGTTTATACTGCTACTCTTATAAAGCACTATAGCATCTCAACTTTTTTTTTTATATAAATTAAGGAAAAATGGCACTGAAATCAAAAGTTAATTATTTGTCAACATACAGAAGCAAAAACACATTTTGAATATATCCAACTTAAAAAGTATAAATGAACAAGTTGTTTTACTAACCAGCTGTAAAGTCCAGTTTTTCAGGGAAAGAAACTGTAATGGTAAAAGGTAGAGAAATGGACCAATTAATATACGCTGGAGAACAAGCAATGTAAGCTTAGCAGAAAAATAAGACATTCAAATGGATTTATAAATGAGTGTAAACTGAGTGTGCACACACACCTAGGAAAAACTACATGTCAGAGCTTGGAAGGATTTGTTTACAGACTTAACTTGATGCATGTTAGTGGCCCCCTTAAACTGAATTACTATTCAATTAAATGTAGAGATGTAAATTCAAAGTCTTAGGTAAATCACTTTGGAATACGTTTCAGTACCTTAAGTATTATGGCTAACAGTTTTTATTAACAAGCATTTATATTATTATAGCAACAAGCTAAGTTAATCGCAGAATTCTAAAATAAACATTTGTTTCAGGACAGTGTTTTAGTTTACTCTAGGCAGTGTTTGAGAGAGACAGTCAGTGTACTAGACAGTTTGCACAAAACTGCTGTTATTTAAAAGTTATGGAATGGAGTGCACAAATACTTAAAAAATACTATAGATATGCAGAAGTTCTCTTTATGCCAAAGTTAGCATGACAACTTGATATATACTGACTTGGTTTAGACATCACATCTGTTAGAACTGACTTTTAGCAACAGATAACTGCTATTTGTTACTGGAGGAAATAATTTATTGCCTCATGAAAAGAACAGATTAGTGCATTTGATATCTGTTTTCCTTGAAAGACTGCTTACAAAATAAAATGGGCTCCTCTGGGACTTCTAGGGAAATATAGGGCTTTAATTGCTACCATGGGCACTAGGAACGCTCAGCAGCTTGCACAGAAGTCAGGCTGATGCATGCCAAGGAGGGAAGAGGAGGTGACTGAAGTGGCATCTGTCTTTTATTAAAGCATTTTAAATGTAATGTTTAACATTACATGGCTCTTTAAAAAAGAAATCTTTCTTGCTGTTCAACACAAGCTATTTCTATTAATAAACAGAAAAAAATCCGCCAAAAATATGACCAGCCCAAAGTAGTGAAAGCTACTCTAAGGCTGAAAAGCCATAATTAAGAATGTCCTGTCAGGATAGCCAATTAACTTAGTGCCAGTAATAACCAGATGACAGCCAGCTCTACTTAGCTTTCACCCAGTATAACTGATCATATACTATCATCAGGAATGGGCTCTGTGCTTAAAGATTAGCTGGTGGATGAAAACAGCACATTCAACAGAACCCAAATAAGATGGCAGTGATGCTGGTGGGCAGGGAAAAGCATTTTGAAGAGTTTGCGGACACAGTGGAATCACTTTTGATAGAAAGTACATACTTACAATTGGTCAATTTAGTCCATAGTCTGGAATACTTTGGGATTTCTCAGTGATGCTAAAGCTGTCACATAGCACCATCCATGAGTAATGCTCCTATACCCACTTGGCTCATCCTGAAAGATAATCTGTTTTTTGGGTATTCATACTGTGGCAGTGTACCTTGGGTGCCTGCCACTTTAAGGGCTGGGTGTAGAGGCCCTAGAGTGGGCATAGGAGGAACCCCATTTAAGGGGAGTAGGCCAAGCTATGTTTTTGGAAGCACGAGGCCGTAGTTGGGCCTGAGGCCGAATAGAGGGGCTCAACCAGAGAGTTAGGGGTGAGTCCTGACCCTGGTAAGTCCTCCACCACAAGAAGGCTGAGCATGGGTCAAAATTTACAGCAAGGGAAAGCACAATGACCTGCTGCTCCAGGGAGGGAGTGAGTCCCTGTGAGACCTGGGGGCACCAGTCGTGGTATAAGGGAACATTGTGTGTTTGTGTCATCTGCAAGGCTCGGGATGCAGTATAGGGGTGGTTGGAGCTGCATACATAGGTCCAGGAAAACAGGGCCACCAAAGGGTAGCCTCCCACCTAACTAAGACACCAATTATTAAACAACAAGGTGTGGCAGGAGAGAGAGGAGGGTCATTAGCCCAGAAGCAGGTGGGTGGGCCAACTTCTGAACAGCCCCAGGAAGGCCCCCTGTTACTCATACCTTTGTTGGTTCTGGGCTGGATGTCAACAATGTGACGGAATGGGGCACAAAGCCTGAAGTACTTATAGGAAACTCCAATTCTACTTAATATAGAAAACTGCCACAGGGCTCTTGGCAACTGTGAAATTCCATTCTTATTGAATTCAAGGTTTTTGTACTTATTTTCAAGGAGTTTTATGTCTTGGGCTTGAATTAATTAGGAGGTTGTGATGAACTATTGCTGCAAGAGAACTCTGCAACAAAGGCAGAGCCTGGGTGTGTGGGAGATCAGGCATTTCCTTGAGGGCTGGTGGCAGACTGTGGAATATATTCCCCTATGAAGCAAGAACCATTGCAGTGAGAACCTTCTCTAACAAATATATAGCAACATATAATAAAAAACAA